ATCCAACATATAAACGTTACAGACACACACATACAACCTGCATTTTATAATAAGTAAGATATATATATATTGAACTTTTAAAAGGTAAGCAATACTTAAATGCAGTGATCAATTTTGAGTTCGTCAGTAGTTTATTGATGCCTATCGTATCTACTCCGCCCTACCTATTGTGATGAAGGTCCAATCAAGATCCCTCCACAGGAGCTACCTTAAATGCTGCCTGATATATATATAAATATATATATATATATATATATAAATGACAATAGGAAAACTGTAGTAGTTGCCACGTGTTTTGTTCAATTGAATAAAACACGTCGGCAACTACTAAGTTTTCTATTGTCAGTTATATTTATAAATATTGTCTTTTCTACAGGTTAACTCTGAGAAATTTATATATATATATATATATATATATATATATATACTAACTTAAAACCATTCTATTTGTTTTAAGGAAAATATGCATTTTTAAAGTTCAATTAATCCACACTGAGGAGAATTGTCAGTAAAGGATATTACTATTGGATTGTGAGACTAACCTAACATTAGAAACATGTTTCCAGTGAGTTAAGAAATCTTATTAAAATGCCTTCAGCTACAAGAACAGAGTTGTATAATGTAGAATTAACCTTGATTACAAAATTATAACAATTTTTTTTACTTTTATCACTACACGGGGAGATCACTTCCACAGATTTATTGCCCAAGTGTTGATTCCTTGATTCTCTATGGCATGACAATGATGAAATATTTCCATTCTTTCTTTAGAAAGATATCTGCTGACAAACAAACCAAACAACCTCATAAAAAAACTAATTTTTTTTTTCTCAGTCACATGAGAGAGGATCAATAAGTTTAGCCTGATTCATCAATATTTGGTGAATTTTGATTTGAAATTTTAACTATTTTTTTTATCTATATGAATAATAGAGAAGCATTGAGTTAAGTGCGTTGATCAAGGACAAGATTATTATATTAAAAAAAATATTGCATACCCTCTTTCCCCTCTCTGAAAACTTTGTTAGAATATTTAATCTTTGGTGATTATTCTGGCTTGTGCAAATAATGGATGTTATTTTTAATCATGGTTCACAGACATGGAGTGCCTTCCTTAACAAGAAGTGCATGTTGGCACTTAAACTAAGTTGAAACTTTGTATTTCAGATTCCCAATCCATACTCGCTTCGACCTATAAGCTTCTCTACCCATCTAGACTAGTCCAGGTGTAGTGAAAGTACAAGCATCTCTCAATATCATCTCCTCCCAATGTCTCTTCTAGCTCAAGCAATCTATATAAATATATATATATATATATATAAATGACAATAGGAAAACTGTAGTAGTTGCCGACGTGTTTCGTTCAATTGAATAAAACACGTCGGCAACTACTACAGTTTTCCTATTGTTTTCCTATTTCCTATATATATAGCTTGTGCTGTGGTGTCCATGGCTCCTAACTTGGCTCTCCAGTTGAGTTTTCTGAGTGAAACTCGTTCTTTCTAATAACAATTTCTCTGGATGCCAAGCCTGTTGTTGCTTGATTTGGCTTTGTCTGTTTTTTTTTTAATAGAAATAGGTAAGCTGTCCTATCACCAATCAGTACCCCTCCTCTTCTCTTGAACAGGAGTAGAGGCTCATTCCTTGTTTCCTCTGGTAGTAGTGCTGCCATGAATCTCTTTTGACATGTGTGGTTTATGGCAATGTCTCTTCATACTGAGGGTACTGGGTTGGCAGTTTTCTGGTTGCTGTTTTTATTATTATTATTGATAGTTAAGAGCTCAAACTTTTGCATAGTTTCTTGAAAGGCTACTCTGATCAATAGTTGCATAATATTGGAGTTCTTGCAGTGCCATGTCAAGCATGGAAGAGTGTCTCTGAATGCACCTTCAGTGGGCAAGCCCGAGGCCACATTATGTTGCAGTCTGCACCAGTTACATTGGTCACATATGATGATCGACTGCTACTATTACATTATGCCTTTTCCTTACCAACATGACCAGAAACAACCAAAAATATAAACCTAAACCAACTCAAAAAATCACCTAAACCCTTTAACATTTCCTTCTCAAACATCCATGGTATTCATACCAACTGCAGTGTGGAATTGTTCCTTTTCGAAAAGCCTCCTGATATACTAGCTCTCTGCAAGACTAACCTTAACCCGTCAATCCCTTCCTCTGATTTCTTGATTCCTGGCTACCTTCCTCTCCTTAGAAAGGACTCTAAAATCCACATGCATAGCCTGGAATCATCTCCTGCTGGCAATGGGATTCTTTTAGGATTCTCCAAACCATTTATATATATGTCTTCATCTACCTCTCCTCAATTCAGTAAGCTATTTCTTCTTTCTCTACCATTCCTCTTTCCCTCAAGACTGTTGTGTACTCGATAGCATGTCCGATAATATAGACAAGGCCATCTCTCTACATCTGTTTGCTAACATATTCATGTTTGGTGACTTTAATGCCCACCATACCATGTGGATTGGGATGAATTGATTTTTTTAAAAAAAAGTTGCATTTGGGAATCATTTAGGAGATACTGAATATACTTATTTTTTTTAACAAGAACAACAGTCTAATTAAAAACTAAAAACTAAGCTGTAATTGTGCAACACCCTAGCCAGTCATCCAAGACTTCCAACACTGCGACTGATCGATAAAGAATGCTTCAATCTCAGACCTGCCCTATCCAAATTGTTGCAGATATCTTTGTGTTGAGCTAGTCCAAGCAGGGCGATGATGTATAACACTTGAATAAATTGCAAAAAAATAATTCTGTTTTTATATCAGTCCTTCGTACAATAATTGGTTTATATCAGAGTTTGCATGCAATTAATTATCAACCCAGCCTGCATCTAAATCAGAAGTGATACTATTGTCAACCTGGCAAAAATCTTGTTTGCTATTGTAGAGGTTGGCACAAGTTTGAAGTCAGACGCTTTCGTCAGCAGATAATCACGTGGGTCTCTCTTCTGTCTCTGTCTCTTCTGCTCTGACTCATCTCTCTTCTGTGATTCATTCGACAAATTCACTTTGCACCTTCATATTTATGTATATTCACCCAAACTGGCATTGTGGGGTGTGTATGGTGAGGTAGGAGCATTTTGGTCAATCCCCTTTGACTTACGTCATAACTTTGGGGAATTCCGTCTCTTTTATTATCTCTTACTAAATCTCCTCAATGAGTGCAGATGGCTTATCCACCCATTCCTGGTATTCAGGGAAATCAACTCCAAGTTCTTTGTTTACGAAAAATGAAATTTTCTCTTTACAGCTTGCATTTGCAGTCATGTGTCAATCAACATTACCCTGGGTCACTTTTCCATTGTTCAAACTGATCGACATACAATTTAAGTTGTTTATGTGTGATTTAAATCATCAGTTCTTTCCATGGGTTTTTGGTATTAACCCTTCTCATTTCAATGTCTCTCAGCACATAACACTTTCTATTGATAAGAAAACTTTCTTAGGTTTTATTTTACTATGCTAACAACAAATAGTATCACAAAACATTAATTTCTTGTTTGTCTTTAAAGAATAAGAGGAGTTCAGTTCTTAATTTTTTTGTCATTTCTAAGCAAAGCAAGAACAAAAAAAAAAGATGGCACTAAAGAAAGGATGTTAGTCTGGGTTGGCTTGCCTCTATTATATGTTGAGAGAGCATTAATCAAAAGTCAGTTTCTTTAATGCCATATACATTTGACATAGAGTAAAGTAAACTTCCTAAAGTAACTTTTCTTCACTTTTAAAAAAAAACTTTCTTTATTCCATATTTTTTATTGTAATCTTTGTTGTCAGTAACTTCATCTAGTGTAAGTTACATTTGGGAGTGATTTAGAAGTTGTTAAATATATTTTTATTTGTTGTTTTTTAAAATTTTATTTAACAGAAACAACATTAGACTAATGAAAAAACAAAAATCATTTTGTGTTGGCATTTGGAGAAAAGAAGAATTTTAGTGCTATCCTTAAGTTTCAGTAAAACAAGAATAGCAAAAAAGAAAATAGGACTTAAGAGAGAATGTTAGTCTGGGTTAGCTCACTTTTATTATATATTGAGAGAACATCAATCAAAAGTCAGTTTTTACAATGCTGCATGCAGCTGACAGTTTTATTTCCTTAAGTGTAATTTTTTTCACATTTATGTTTATGCAAACAAATGTCTAGAATACACTGACTTTGCAGCAGCCTTCTTCAGATTTACATTTGTCAAAGGTTTGTGCATAACCAAATCACTGTATGACAGCCATCAGTTTAAACAAAGAGACTATCTCAGGTATCTATTATCAACTATCGTTCTCTCATTGGTTCAAAATGCTAATAACATTCCCATTTTACCCCTGTCTATCATTCTTTCATTGCCTTTCACTGTCTTAAAAGAAAGGCCCTTCTGATTCTTTGGCTGTCTTTACTTTTGTCCACTTTCTTCAATTTTTAGTTGTTTTTCAACTTTCCCATATGCTTCAGGGTCCTACTTTTAATCAACAACAGAGTTCACTTTCCTTTAAATGTCATGGCAGCATTAATCTTCATCAGGCTGATTAATATATTATTTCTTATATATTTTCATTAAAGGGAATTAGCTTGATGGATTTTTAAGGTGATATTATGAGTAGAATTTATTAAACACATAATATTGTTTAAGAAAGGTAGATCATGATCTAATATGTTATAGCTGTGACATAAATCACAAGTGACTGAAAATGAACAAATCATTCATCTAAATGTAATAGCTTACATGAATTTCATAGTTTTCTCTGTTTTTATAATATTATAAGCATTGCTTTATAATAAATTCATTTGAAAATATTTTAATTAAATATGATTGTTTCATTAATATGGCTGCCAAAAGTTGGAGTTTGAATACAATAGAGCGAAGTTTTGAGATTCATATTCAGGAAATCCTGTAATACCATGTGTTACATTATTGCTGCTGCTGTCACTACTAACATCATCGTTATAAGACTATTTATCTTAATTTTCATTATGATTTCAGAGAACTCCAGAAATTGATTATGGACACATAGCTGTGAAAGTTGCTTTCTTGCTTGAGACGCGGGGATATGTGACAATATTTGTAAAAGGTCAGTAGTTGAGGGCTCCAACTGTTTTATCAGTATATTGTTCTAGATTCTTTCACTTCAAGTTTCCAGCTAATTTGCTTGACCTATTCTGTCAGGCCACATCTTGAAGATTCCAATAAATATACTGAAAGTGATATGAAACAAGAGAGAAAATCTCTTCAAAATTATTTTTAGTCCTTTTTTTTTCCATGTTTCACTAATTATTAAGATGAAGTATAATTTTGTTTCCAAATATATAATGTATAGACCAAATGACTATTAAAAAATGCTGTGTCATTCAGGATATAGACAAACAGGGCTCCATATATATTCTGTTTTGCCACAGCAGATGGTGTCAGCTGAAGTGTCTGTGCCATGGAGTGGTGACCCATGGATCACCTCAAACAAAGCTTTCATGCTCAAAGACATTTCTTCTCATGTCTAAAGAATCAATTGGAGAAGAGCAGACCATGAAAAAAAAAAAACAACATCCTTCAAAAACACCAGAAGACAAATAGAAGAGATGAAGAGACCCTAAGAAAAGCCAGAGCTCTTCATCGCCTGAACTCTCCTACCCTACCATGAACTGGCTGTCTGCGGATGTCTCTTCAGATTCCATATAGGACTCATTTCACACAGAAAGAAATGTTGATGAGCACCCTAATACTCAGCAACGAGGTCCACCAACGATGATATATTCTGTGATTTCTTGAAAAAGATAGTATAGTGTTTCTCATTGCCTCCTCCATGGTTTAAAATTTAGTATTTTTCTTCTCTTAGACTGGTTGCCAGCCAAGGCTAGAGAACCCAGTCTACTATTTAATCCATAAGCTAAGTGGGAAGAAGAGAGGGATTTATGCTTTTTCCAGGAGCATAACATACTCTCCAAATTCACTATCCTACTAATAACCTAAAATCTAGGGATATCTTCACCTTGTATACCTGTATAGAATTTCTATGATTAGTTAACAAACTGTAAAGAACTTTTCAAAAATATAGACTACAAATTACAGTGACTGTCCTTATAAAAGATTACTCTTGATCAGAACTTCCTTTGGAGTTTGGAAATATTTTAAAGAGAATATAACTTGAAAAGTATTGCTACCTAGAGACATTGGAATCAATTTCTTTACAGCTCCTTTGATGAAAACTTGGCCAAGTTATGTGGTACAATATTCTTCAAAGTATATTTTACAACACATCTACATTTGCAAGTTACCTCATCATTCAGTTGCTTCATGAAAGAACTTTTGCAAATATATACATTGATTTGCAAATGCATATATATATATATAATATATATATATATTAATGAAATCTTAATTCTAATACACATATTCCCATAAAGTGGATATACCATATCTATATGCTTGGGAATAACACACAAAAGGGAGTGCTGAAAAGTTCTTGGTTAAATGAAAGTGATTTTAAAATATTCTGTGTGATTTTGGAAGGCGGGTTGGATCAAGAATGTTTCAGCATATATATATATATATATATATATATATGCTGAAATATATATATATATATATATATATATATATATATATATATATATATATATATATATATATATATATATATATAAAGAAAGAATAGTAATCTGGTGTTCTTATTGATATTTTTTATTTTTACTTTTACAAAACAGTGCTCAATGTAAATTTACAGAGCATAAATATTATAAATTAACTGATTGGAAATATGGCTTTTTCACTACACAGTAATAACCATGTTTCAAAAATGGAAGCTAAAAACTTTAAAATTAATTATATAATTAAATTAAAATCATTAGTTCCATTTCATCTTCAAGCGAATATTGGAATAACTTATTTTTAAATTTAATGCATATATAAATTCATAATTTACTGTTTCCAAGGATACAGAGAAATCCAATCATTCAGACAGGGGTGGCAGCGTGTTCATTTTTATTAACTATTGTTGTATCAATTATGAGTTTGAAAAAGAGGTTAAGTTTAGAGAGGGTAGGGGGTGTATTTTCCAACATATTCTGACATCCGTTAAATGCATGTCGTCTGGGTTTTTTTTTATTAATGGCAAAAAGTTTTTCGGCATTTTTTCCTTACTTGTATACTTGAAGATTCTTTTTATGTTTAAAATATGTTTAAAGTTTCAAATTCTACTGTTATGTACTTATTGAATAAGTGGAGAAAAATTTGAAACCACTGATTGGTTGGTGGATAGAGTGCCTATTTGATTGATTCATAGAACTGAATTTTCATCAGTTTCTATAAAATGAAAGGTTTTTTTACTATTGTTGACATATGCTTTTTTACTATTGTTGACATATAGTTATATACTAGCAGCATGACCTGGCGTTGCCTGTGCTTGATTCAAAAATCATACGACTCATACAGCAATCGCTATCACTTGACTTCAAATATTTTTGCCCTTCCATGCCTTTAAAGGAGTGCCCTTTGCCAGGCTGATGTTGCTACATGCCTTACTTCTTGCCTATCTCACACTGCAAATTTTTTCTAAGCTAAACATTAAATCTGTTACGAAAAAAAAAAATTAAACAAAATGAACACAAATCTATCAGCTTTAAAAAAGGACTCGTAACTGGAAAAAACGAATGAAAAAAGAATGTTAACAACAAATACTTTTTCACACCCAACCTAGTTCTGCGGAATCAGAATCAACGTTAAGTTTAAGCAAGCGGATGAGCCAATTGGAGTAAAGTGCCATGCAGATTTAAATTTTTCCCACTTGTGACAAATGCAGCTATCGATTTTTTTTGCATGCTAGCATGCTAGTTAACATTCATGTCAGTCAGCTGTTGGCTCTCACGCTGGTCAATAGAATCTTCCTGCCTAATCATGGCAGCCAGCTATAGGCTCTCACTCTGGCCAGTAGAAAATGTCTGCTAACTACAGGAAAACTGCCATAGAAGCATGAAAAAATCGATTATTTCCACTATTGATGGGAGTTTGGAAATGCAATGTCAGTCTTGGCCTTCCCATGTAAATCTTGGTGAAATCCGTCGAAAATTGCGGCCGTACATTCGTTACACACACACACACACACACACACACACACCTGCCTTAGAGATGTGCTATGGGCGAAAAAGGAGTCATTTTCAGTTAATAGGTGAATGAAAACCTTGTTTATTCACCTTAGAAAAAACTTATACTCTTTGCGCGTGTCATACAGAAGCATTTTGACTGTTTGTAATCAGTTTGTATTTCTCTATATTACAGTTGACTTGAACATTCTGAGAAAATAAAAAGAGGATAATTTGTCCAATTTTAAGACACCACTTCTGAAAAGCATGATTGAAGGTCATTTGTATTTAATAAACAAACATGAATTATAACTAGCCTCAAAGCATATCAAATGTAAACATCAATGACCACTAAAAAATAAATATAACAAAAATTGGTTTGAAATTCCAAAAATAGAATTACTAGCTCAGTTCCATATTCAGAAAAGTAGCCTAGAATTCATTAGAATAAGATTCAAATAAATCCCAATGAACCAGAAAATTGTGATTTTTATTTTCCTGCTTATTTGTATCATCTCTAGATCATGATGGATAGAAGTGCCCTTACAATTTACAGGAGCATGAAGATAAATTGATAAGTATATAACCTGTACAATGAATTCTGATGTGAAATTGACAATCTATATGATTAATAGAGAAGCCTTGTATTAAGTGACAAGTAAGGCAATAAGGTTGAAAAATAAATATGTTAAATACTTTTTATCATTATTTGACAGCAGACATATTGATTTGCCTATATACACAATTGAAAAAATGAAATCAAATCTAGCAAAGACATTGACAAGGAAGTAAGTAGACTTACAAAGAAGAGATAAAGCAGAGTATAAAGAGATAAGTGGCCAAAAAGATAAAGACATAAAGGAAATGTCACAATCAAGTCAAGCAGACACAAAGGGACTGGAATAGAAGAGGTTGTAATAATTTGGCCTTCAATGGCTGTCAATCAGTATTTAAACATTTTTGATGATAGATTTTTTTACACATGATAAACATAAAGAAATGACCTTTCTCATGTTGAATATTGGTCAGAAAACTAACTATGCTTGTCTTTTATTTAAAAATAATTACACTCAAAGTTATACAAAGACTCAGTGTGTAAGTGAATGACAATGTGTTTCATTTTGAGAAGGAACTTCTTCAGATTAATGGTTTCATTAATAAAGTCAGTTTTATATATTTTTATCACTTTAAACATTATTTTTAGTAGCTAACCATATTTGAGTAGATGCTCCCTTTGTTCTGAAACAGTCTATTTATTTTCGTCTACTAGTCTGAATATTCAACTATGCACCCTCCAAATCCCGGAGGAGGATGCATCTTTTTTAATAAATAAAAATCCATCACTTCTTTTTTATATTTCGGATACAAAACTGAGCAGATATAAACTTTCAAGAATCTGGAAATAGAAAGATTGTGCATAAAATGCAGTATTCAACCTTGTTTGAGATGGTTAAAAGCATGTCAACTCTAATGAGAGATTCTCCTGGAAATGAAAATGCAAGTTCGAATCCTGGCAGTGGGTGCATCATTTTGTTTAATAAAATTTTCTGAATATTAAATCTGATAGACAAAAATAAATATACTGTTTAAAAATAAACAAAGCATTGAGTCAAATATGGGTATCCACTAAAATAATGTTAAAAGTGATATATATATATATATATATATATATATATATATAATGGACTTTCCAATTGTTTTTGACATATAAGTGTCTTTCAGTTCAGTTTTTATGTTTATGCCCCATATGAGACAACAATACTGCATGGGATGTCGACACAAGGGACATTCTGAAGGGTTAATCCTCATATAAGCTGATGTATTGGCCTGAGATTTAGTGTTGGTTCTTAATTCTCTCAGATGGTTGAGACAATACTTTTCAAAGTTAGTTATATCTTTGTAGCTGATATTTCTCTAGTTTGCTCGGTTTACAACATCAAGTTCGAACACCTTAAAAGAAATGTTTGCAGCATTGAAATTGTATTTGAGTTTGTCCTTG